TATTTTGTGAATCTTAAAATTGATTTTGATGACTTGATTATGAATTTCAAGTTAACGATTTGATTTGAATGAGTTTTATCTAAATCATAATCTTGATCTTGCAAAATTGGAATCACAAATAATATCTTTTGGTATTCATGAATTGATACTCACAATATGAAAGTATTGGTATTCATGACTTGAATTTGATTGAAACATTGCATGCTTAAATTAATCATTCTCCTATATTTCAAAAATTCTTTAAATGCCTTATGTGATGATTGAAAATTAATTTGCTTTATGATGAATCACGAATCATGACTTGATCTATGATATTGATATATTTTAATCATGATCCTTGGTTGTATAATTCTTTTGCTCTATTAAAAAGATTTATCGAATGAATCATGTCCTTCTTGAATTTTCTTGATATCATGATATGATTTTGTAATATGGCTTGTATAATGATTAAAATTTTTTAACCATTGATTTCTCCCTTCTTTTTGATAATGATAAAGGGGGAGTTAGTTTACTAGGCAACATATTTCAAAGGAAGGAAAATTTGCTAGCTCGATCATTTCATTGAAAGAACTTGCTATCATGAACACTACCGATGAATTGCAAATCCTGCAATCTAAAGAGAAGCAAAGAATTGCTATCTCGAAAGAAGTAAAAAATGCAAAACTTAGAAAACTTGCAATATAATTGCTCTTGCCATGCTTTGTATCAAAAATAGGTTGATATCCTTAAAAGCATCGTATTAAATTTTTTAGTGTATTGCAATGTATCACATGTATCGCAAATTGAAATTTTTGAGACTATTATCATATCATGTTTAACAATTGATATCTTTCATTAATATGATAAATTATCATCTCATGATGTATCACATAATGATATCATGATTTGCGATTGTATCATGTGATCCTTGGTAAATTTTTACATTGATATCCTTCATGAAATGATTTATTTGTATTATTATCTTATATGCATCATGTGATGATTAAAATATTGATTGATGCAAAGTTGATGTAAAAGTCTAAATCATTGGTTCCTCTCCTTCTTTTTGACATTGACAAAGGGGGAGAAAGTCATTGCTAGCTTGCACACTTGAATTAAGAATTTGCTAGCTCGATCATTGTACTAAAGAAATTTGCTACAAACATCATAAATATTATTACTTGCAAAGAAAAGCAAAGTGCAATCTTGCACAAAAATTCAAGTGTTGAATTGCCATGATTGAACTTAAGAATCTTGCTATGCTTTTGTGCTTATATGTTATGATGAAAATCTAGCTTCATGTTGCAAAAACTTACAAATCTTTTAAAATAGCAAGAGCTACTTCTCCTTTTTGTTGATGACATAGGGGGAGAAGTATATTGATAACTTAATGCATTGAATTGAATATTTTATATATATATTTATATGATGGTTTAATGTTTTTCATAACATGTGATGAATGTTACTTGAATTTGGGATAATCCAAGTGTTCTATCAATGGCATATTGATAGAGGGAGTTTGGTTAAACTCCGGGGAGTTAAGATTAAATCCGTTAGTCATCAATTAGTTGTCATCATCAAAAAGGGGGACATTGTTGAATCTCAAATTTGATGATGAAACTAATTGATTGTGTTTAGATGTTTAACTGCATTTTGAGTGATGCAGGTCTACTCAATCAGGATTAGACAGTTAACGCAGGAGGAATTGACGTTGCGCCGGAGGAGATCACGTTAGGATATTGGATGGCAGAAGGCTTCGGATGTCGGGCATCGGGCCAAGAGCGGAATTGCGCCAAGGATATCGGGGTTGCGGAGGTCAACCGCCGATTGGGCAACAAGCCGTAAGAGAGGACGATGCACTGAAGAATCGGACGAAGCACCAACCAATGATGTGCCGGGCAACAGAATGTCAATTCGCTTTGTAATAATTGTCTAGATCGGAGTAGAGTTTTGGCTTATGTGTGCAGGATTAATTGCGATAACGATGAAGACATAAAGCGAAACAAAGTGTCGGAGTCAAGCGCGAAGGATTTGTTGTGAGTTCGAGAGTTCGACGGAAGTCCGAAGGTTCGTCGGGAATGCTGCCGGAACTATCCGAGAATGAGTAGGGAGCTTACCGAAGGGTTTTTCGGAAGCTCACCGGAAGGTTCGTTGGAAGTTCGCGGAGCTCATCGAGAAAGATCGGAGCTTGCCGAAGAAGCTCGTTGGAACTCGCCAAGATCAAATTGTGAAGTCTAGGAGCTTGTTGGGAGTCTGCAGAATGGTTTCCGAGAGTTCGTTGGAAGACCGTCGGAAGTTCGCCGGAAGCTCACCGGAAAAAGTCTTGACTTGTGGACTTTGTAATAGCTTAGAAAATATCTTTAAATTCATAGTTAGCATGTTAATTAGGATTAGGATTATGTGTTAATCCTATAACCCAAGTAGGGGCCAATTGAGCTCGAGTTCGGATTGGTTTGGGCCAAGTTTGGAGTCCAACCAGTGATCTGAAATAGTGTAGGCGGTGGCACCACCAGATTAGGTGGTGGCACCGCCCAAAACCTGAGAATTGAGCGGTGGCACCGCCCAGCACCCGAGAGGTCGGGCAATGGCACCGCCACCGACAGGCGGTGGCACCGCCAGCCTCGGGAACCCAAGAGAATTCAAAATTTGAAGCCCAAATTTGAATCCTCTTGGGGCCTATAAATACCCCTCAATTCTAAGCTGAGATCACAACCTTTGAGAAGGAAGAGATTGAGATAAAAGTCTTAGCAAAGCCTTTAGCAAGTTTTTGTTTTCAATAGCTTGAGTGTTCACCTCCCTCTTTCTCTTTGAAAATTTGTAAGAGTGTGAATCACTTGTAAAAGGTTGTAAGAGGGGTATTTGTCCTTCCCCTTCAAAGTGATTGATCTATTAAATCAATTAATGGTCTTATTGTTATATTCTTGATGACTGTTTGATGGACTAATCATTGGGGAGTTTCAATAGTGAGATATATTTTATCTTATCCTACTATTTGTGATTTAGATCTTCTAGCATGCTTGAATATCTCAAAATAGGGTGTCTTTCTAAAACATCCTCTGAATTCTTAATTTTTGTTGTTGTACTTTTGATATCATTGTAAGTAGTGTGATTATAGTAATAGTATGAGTAAACTTTTTTTCATTGGTACATTCTCTGATATACATCTTACTCTATAGGATAGTCTTCTATACATAAGTGAACTTTATAGTACGTAACAACTTTGATCTTACCATAAAATTGTTTTATCTTATGCATCATTTTTTTAGATTTTAATATTTATAAAATATTTTATATAAATGCTTTGGAGGAAAAAAAATACTTATGGTTTGATTATAAATAAAAATTGAGGTACTATGAACCTAACTAAATATATGACTTTTTACGTATCTCCAAAAGATCCCACTTTAAATAGTTGGGCTCACGATTTTGTTATTATTATATTTTTAATAACCTATCTATTATTCGACATAGTAGCTATAAAATTTTATGGTGCTTATAGTATTAATATTTATCTTTCTTGTATCAAATATGTTGGTGATTTAACTAGAGTTTAATGATAAATCATAATACACAATCTATATGGACTATATATATATATATATTTTGCCATAAAGAACTAAAAGTCATGTAGGCTCCATTATATTTGCTTGATACTTTCTCCATTGAAAATTTATAATGAGTTATATTGCTACAGACTAAGTAAGATTTTATTATGCTTAATTGGAAGTCTGATTGAGTCAAGCATATAATCAGATTATAAATACCTTTCCTCTTAAGGCATTCATATAAAATATTTATAAATACTAAAATAAAAATATGATTGATATGAGATTGTTTTATGTTATAAAGTTCATTCTTGTGTAAGAGTAGAATGTTTATCAAGAAATATACCAAGCGAAGATAGTTTATATGATCACATTATCGACAATGATTTCAAAAGTATATTGAATAAAAAAATAAAAATTAAAGGGATATTTTAGAAACTTATCCTGTCTTGAAATATTCTAACATGGTAGAAAATTTTAGTCACGTAAAGTAGGATGATGCAACATGTAACTCTCATGGAATGATAAATTCTTTTAATGAACTAAGCGCTGCAACCAAGATGTTATTTGGTTACTTATAAATAAGATAGTGATTCAACTTAAAGTCTACTTGTTAGAGAATTGCATGAGAATATTTAAATAAAAAACAAAAAGTGTTTATGCTATTTTGTTTGTAGCTTTCAATCTCTTCAATGTAGGAGGCCAATTACTAAAATATCATAGCAGCAAGATGCTGACAATGTTCTGATGAAGCATGGACTCTATATGTGCAGGGAATTGGTTAACTGTGTTTTGAGCTTGGAATTTGGGAATTGACAGACTCCACCTCTTAAATCAGGCTTGCGGAAGTTCAGATGGTGAATGAAACACCATTGTTGTGAGAGCACTTGTTGATCATTGAAGATAAGAAAGTGATTGAATCTGAATATTGTATGACTTCTTTGGTAGTTCAGAAGTTCTACTTCACTGTTCACAGTGTTTATGTAATTAAATCAATGCAAAATCCAAAGACCTTTGTGTGTGGTGATGTCTTTATCTAAACAAACTGCAAATTGTGTTAGTAGTGGATCACTCAGAATATCCTGACAGATAAATCTCAAGATGATTAGTGCAACACTTGCTTATTCCATTTTTCTCGAAAGATTTTTCTCACTCACTGTTTTGTTTCCAACATCGAGCATAATTAAGTTATTAAGGCCTTTATTATTGAAGTGAAGTCTGTCAGCATGTTCATCTAGATAAGCTTGCCTTATTGTCAGCTTTGTAATTGTGATAGTTGTGTTAATAAATCCTTGCTCAAGTTCATATTCTAAATCCAAACAGTGAATTACTATGCTTTTCCCCTTCTTATCAGCTCTCAATTTGTCAGAATAAATATTTAGTGCATATATTACTGATACATTTTGAATGGCAATAGCAGATTCCTATTCTGATTATTCTTGCAGATGCAGGATGAACTGACTCTGTTGTTTGGTTCGTGTCACCAACTCACCTGCAGGGAAACATGGTTATTCATGGGTGAGTAGATCATATTATCTTCTCCAAGAGCTCTCAGCCTCTGCAACTCCGGCAACACCACCTTCTCCAGATCCGGCCGATCCTTCCTCCTTAGCTCCGTGCACTTGAGCGATAACTCAGCGAGACGCTGCGCCTCCTCCACGGGCCAATCGGGCTCCGCTGGGTCCAACGTCTCCGCGAAGGTGCCCCTCTCGATCGCGCGGCTCACGTGGTGCGTCACCCCCATGGGGGGCTTCGCCGTGACGATCTGCAGCAGCAGGACGCCGAGGGAGTATATGTCCGACTTCACCCCCAGCATGCCCGTCTGCTGGTACTCGGGGTCGATGTAGCAGAACGTCCCCGCCGTGGAGGTGATGCGGTACTGCGTCACGCTGTCAGCTATCGACGGGGGGACGAGCCGGGCGAGGCCGACGTCGCCGATCTTGCTCACGTAGTTCCGATCGAGGAGGATGTTCGCGGGCTTGAGGTCCCGGTGCACCAGCGGCTCCGGCTTCATCCGGTGAAGGAAGAGCAGGCCGGTGACGATCTCGCAGGCGATGCGGAACCTGTGCTGCCAAGGGATCATTGGCGTGTTCCCTCGCCGGAACAGGCGGTCCTCCAAGCTCCCGTTGGCCATGTACTCGTACACGAGGCAGCCGTACTCTGGGCACGCACCGAGAAGGAGAACCATGTTCGGATGCCTGATGCAGCTCAACACCTCAACCTGCGCAACCAAGGCGAGTGAACTATGATCCATGGCGATGTCTTCTTCTTGTGCTTCATTCACTTGGCGTACCTCTTGATGGAACTGCGACCTTCCCTGAGCTGCGTCGGGCCGAAGAACCTTGACGGCGACAGCAGTGTGATCCAGATGACATTTGTAGACCGGACCGTAGCCGCCCTCTCCGATCTTACGGTGCTCTGCGAAGTATTCGGTGGCAGCTTCGATCTCCTCGATCGTGTACTTTCTGTACCTGAGGTCCGTGTGTGAGAGTGAGTCCAATGCTTTCTTCTTCTCGTCCGCCTCTCTGATCGCCTTCATCTCTGCGTCTATTCTCTTCTGTGCTTCCAGCTCCGCTATCCTGTTCTCGGCTTGTGCTGCCGCCATGGCTTTTCTACATTTTGCTTTTTCCTTCTCCACCAACGCCATGGCAGCTGTCTCTGCCGCGTGAGCGTCAGATATTTTTTTCTCCTCCTCCATCTTCCACCGCTGCAGCTCCGTCGTCTGGTGCAAATCGAAATTGTCATCATCTTTATTTGCCAGATTAATATCGAGTTTGAGATGTATGGATGGATGATAACCTTCTGCTTAGCAGTGAGTGCTTCTTTGCAGGCGTTGTTGTACATGTCCATGGTGTGCTTGAGCTCCAGCCTCAGCCGCTTCATCTCTTCCTCTACATCTTCCTGCGAGTCAATCAAAAGACTTCCTCAGATGAATCTGTTGCCGCCTACAGATGGAATCGATCTTTACGCCACGCTCACCATGGCTTGCGAGGACCACGAGGTTCCAGTACTGCCCTGTGAGATGGAAGAGAACTCGTTTCCCGTGGAGTACGAATCCACGGACTTGTGCGGCGTTCGCATCTCGAAGCTGCGGTCGAGGCCGTCTGATCCATTGGATAACCTCGGAGGGAAAGCTTGGTCGGTGCTCGGCCTTCCTGAGCTCACGAACGATATGTCGGTGTCGGATAACGAGAGATCCGCAAATGACTTCGTGGTGGCACCACCCATTCCTCTGCCAAACGGCGACCTTTTCCACAACGACACAGAGTAAGCATCCATATCTGTGAGAATTCTCCTGGCTGTGGATGCAACATTAAGCTTACTTGATCGAGTCATCGTGCTGCAAGCTGTGAGCGTCGAATGCTACCTCGCCTGGCCCTGCAGGAGCTGATCGTTCAGTCTGCTTGATAAAGCTGAGGAGGAGAGGGAAGGGGAAGAGGAACCTCTTGAACCAGGGAATAAGCGAGGGGGCGTGACATCAGGCTTGAGGCTGGCCTGGCTTTGGATCTGAGCACGAAGAGGGGACATGTGCGGAGCTGGTCGAACGGCGTTCCGCATGGCGGATACCTTCCCCTTGGCGATCACGTAGACGGTGCAGAAATCAGGCACCCCCTTGGTGATGCTGGCGGTCACATCACGAGTCTTGAACCTTCTGAGAGAATGAGGGAACAACATAAAGTAAGCCTTCTCTCGATCTGAGAATGCAATGTGAGCTGCGTGGATCACCTGACAAATCCACCCTTTGATGAGGCACCAACCACCAACTTCTCTATGGCAGTGTGGGAGACGAATTCGATGATGGCCTTGGCCACATCAAGATCTTCCAGCAGCACATCCTTGCAGCGAACCTGGTGATACAATTTGGAGAACTAGTAGTCCATTAGCTTGCGGTGAAGAGTATGATGACAGAGAAGTTAAACTTCCCATGTCACTCACATCTTTTCGTGTGCAGAAACAGCGAAAAGGAAGGAAGAGTTCCTTGGAATGGTGATCCGTCGGCTCTCTGTAAAAACCAGCATCGTTCTGGTTCGTAGCTGTATTCATTAAAAGTTGGTGGAATCAGAGAAGTAGCCATGGAAAACGAAGTGGAGAACTGTCACTGAGGAAGAAGGCCTAAAGAGCTGGTAGAGACTGCTGCAAAATTGTAGCCACGACTACTGCACTCTGTTCAAACCAAGTATGCTGCAACTATTTTGTAACCCTTTGATAAGATATATAATATAATTAATTAGATTTTGATGATAGCTATTGACCAATAAAAAAGAAGTAAGATTTTTTAAGGGATGCCCTTGATAGGAGGAACTCTCCTAATAACTTATATGCTAGACCCTCTATTCTCACCTATAAATAGACATGACCTTTAGGGAGAGATGCACGCATGGAGAGATTACAATTTCTCTCTCAACCTCCCTGAGCTACAAGGAGAGTCTAGTTCTCATCAATTGACGGTATCTTTGCATATTATACAGAGATCTTATGGCATCAAAAGGTATATATCGTAAAATCAAATTTAATATTATTTGATTTTAATCCTTGCATAAAAGATTATTTTCATATTTCATATAGCATATTACAGATTTTATGCTTACAATTAGTATCAGAGCTTAGGTTCTTGAAATTAAATACTTTAGATATATTATTTTCTGATTTACAATGATTGAATGATCCATATTTTGTCGATCTATATTTCTATCTATTCTGTTTTATTGACTGCTTGCTTGCAAGCATGTTAAATTTCTTATAAACATGATCTTTAATGATCGTGATAGTGAAGCGACCATGATCACCATGGTAGCACCATTGCCAACCTTGCTACGTACAACCAACGGATCTGTTCGTGTCAACAGTTGCGTTGGGTAGCATGTGCGTCGTAGCAGCATTAGTGCATGTGGGCAGCATCGAGCCCAAGAGGCGACCGCACGCGAGTAGAACCCACGCCCATGCGACGATCGCATGCGGGTAGAGCCTACGTCCAGGCAACGGCTGCATGAGGGCAGAGAGTTGCTCATGCGGCGACCGCGCGCGGGCATAGGCCACACCCCGAGGCAACTGCCTACGGGCACAAGTAGTGCCGCGGTGACGACAGTGCAGATTAGGGTTTTTGACATATTTATAGCTTTGACTTCGAGGCTATTTTTGTTAAACTATAGTTCTGCCCTTTATAAATTCTGTAATTCCAGTTTGTCCCGTCAACATATTTATAATTTTACCCTTATAAAATTAAAAATTCTAATTTATATCCTCAATTATAAAATTAATAAATATGATTTATTATAATTGTGATTGAATTTGATCATGATTATATTTTTTATTATTTGATTAGATTTAATTTAAAAAATATATAAATTACAATTTACTTTTGTAGTTTTCTTATATGACTTATTGATTATATTTTTACATGTGGTAAATAAAATCCAATTATTATTCTTAGATATTCATTTGATTATTCATATGTATATATTTGAAATTATGAAATAATGTATCTTTCACGTGAAAGCATAATTTATATGTTATCATGATTATCAAATGGGTTTTTTTTATTAATATTTGATAATTATTATAGTTTTTTATTATATTATTAAACTACTTAGTATAAATTAAATTAAAATTTTTGATAAATATTATTTATAACTCATCTCCCTAAGTTGTATCTGACTTGTAGCTACCAAAGTGGCCTGTAATGAAAGACTTTTGTATTATTTGCAATCGTTATTCTTATAAACATTAAACTAAGTCTATCAAATATTTCCCAAGCCTTCATTTCATTAATTTATTTCATAGTACTTTCATTAATCAAGTCTACGAGCTTTTTAACAAGTAATGCTAAATCAAGATCTAATACGCCTAGTGTAAATTATATATGCTCTAACCATTCTGAATAATTTGATCAAAATAGTACAAGAATACTAGAAGCATAAGAATATATGGATGAAAGTACAAAAATATAAAATGACATTAATGCTTTGAGTTTTTCAAAATATGATGAACTATTGATATCATTTATATTTCACCTTTGGGTGAAATATTGACATATCTAGTTCAAGATCATATATGGATGAGTGATACCATCTTTGTGGAATAGTATTGTTACCTTTGGGTATACAACCCTAAACTACAAGAATATCCAAAATAGTAGCATCCTACCCCATCACATAATTATTTGAAGTAGATTCTCCTTTGGAATTATCTAAATCTCTTAATTATATATGTTATTGTGAATATTATTTCTTTAATATCATTTAGGACTAATTCCTTAATGTTATTTTATAAGTTATTAGTCTAGGTCACTTTAGTGGCTATAAAGACTTCATTACCGATTGCAACTAGCGCATGAGAATATTTAAAAGTTATTGAATAAGGATTTAAATATACTAATAAGTCATTGGCTGGCATACTAATGAAAGAACTGACTACGGCTCAATATGATGGCACTCAAGGAATTCAAGATCACATCATCAATATGACTTATAAAGCTACAAAACTTAAAGTATTAGGCATGAATGTTGATGAGTCTTTCCTCGTACATTTCATTCTTAACTCTCTTTCTTCTCAGTTTGGCCCATTCAAGATTCACTATAATATAAATAAGGATCAGTGAGACTTGAATGAGTTAACTAGTATATATGTTCAGGAAGAATTGAGATTAAAGTAGGAAAGCTCATACAATGTCATGACTATTACGTAAGGAGCTGCTAACAAAAAAAGAAAATTGAAGCATTATCTATCAAAAATTTTTTACCAGGTTTGGAAATGTTGAATATACTAATGAAAAGAAAGCCTTTATAGTAAAGTATTTCTTTTATGGCAAGAAAGGATATGTAAAAAAGGACTGTATTAAACGTATGACTTGGTTCGAAAAGAAAGGTATTAACTTGACCTTTGTATGTTTCAAATCAAATATTACAAAAGTTCCTTCTAATACTTGGTAGATTAATTCTGGTGCTTCAACTTAAGTTACTAATAATATGCAATGATTTCTTTCAATCTGAAAACCAAAAGAACATGAAAGATTCAACATTATGGGAAATCGTCTAAAGCAAAAGCGATATCAGTGGAGACTTATCGTCTACGCTTAGAGATGAGTCATCTAATTAATTTTGTTGACACATGTTATGTTTCTACTATTTCTAGAAATTTAGTTTTTTTATTTAGAATTGATGAGTTAGGATATTGTCTTTCTTTTGGTAGTGGTAAACTCAGTATATTTTATGATTCAATAAAAGTTGGTTTTGGAATTTTGTGTGATGGTTTGTACGGAATTAATTTGAATCTTGAGTTTGCAAAGACATTATTGACCCTATAATTAAGTGTTGGATTGAAATGTAGTTTCAATAATGAAAGATTTTCTATACTATGACATAGACGATTGAGACATATCTCCAAGGAAAAAATTGAAAGATTAGTGAAGGATAATATTTTGGAACATTTAGACTTCACTGATTTTGATGTTTGTATAGATTGCATTAACGGAAAGTAAACTAAACATACAAAAAAAAATACCAAAGAACTCCTTGAGATTATTCATACTGATATATGTGGATCACTCAATATTTCTTATTTTAGTGGAGAAAGATATTTCATCACATTTATAGATGATATGTCCAGATATGACTATGTTTATCTAATACATGAAAAGTCTAAGACCATTGATACTATTGAAGTATACATAAATGAGATCGAGAATTAATTAGATAGAAAAGTTAATTGGTTTCAAGCACATCGAGATAAAGTATTTGGTGGTTAGAGAAAGAGTCCTGAAATAATAAGTGTCAATTGAAAACTTGAGAACCACTATGATGATTACTGATCCATTTACCAAAGCTTTATAATATAAAATATTTAAAGAATATATTCTTAGAATGAGGCTTATGAGTATGACATTGATGATATATAACCGTTATGACTTCATTGATAGTTGGACTTAATGTAGTATTATTATATTTATTGGACTTATTGTCTTGTTTTTAAAATTAATAATCATGTATAAAATATTTTTTCAAGATTCTTTGGAATCTAATTAAGTAAAATTATTTTTAAATAAGTTTTATTTTATTTATTTTGATTTTGAATATCTTTTATATCTTATTGATTAATAGGCCAAGTGCGAGAATGTTAGATTTTGTGACCCTTTATAATTGGATAAGATATATAATAGAACTAATTGAATTCTGATGACAGATATTGGTCAATAGAAAAGAAGTCTGTATTATAGTAGGATTCCTTAGGGGATGCCCTTGATGAGAGAAACTCTCATAATAACTTATCCTAGACCCTCTACTCTCACATTTAAATATACAGGACCTCTAGGGACTGAAAAATCGATGTTACGCATCTCGTAGATGACATATTTGGGGATTATAGTTTCTCTCTTAACCTCCCTGAACCATCAATCTAAGTGGTCCTATGAAAGGATAGGAAGAAAGAGGAGTCTAGTTGTCCTTGTAGATTAATAGTAGTTTTGGATTTAGAGACGTATCTTTACATATCACATAGAGATGGCATCTGTTGGGTCCAGCCCATATGTGGGCTTGGACAATTTGGGCCATAAGCTTAAATCAATAATTAAGAGAGAAAGGGCAAAATTAGAGAGTGCAGGGTGAGAACACAGCAAGAGGGCAGCATGCGACGGCGTGCAGAGAAAAGAGGAGAGAGAAATAGAGAGAGAAAGTAAGGTTTTTGAAATTTCTGCTTGACGATCGGTGGCCAAACGTCGTCAGTTTTGGCTCAAATTTTAAGTGGTGAATCCTTACAGCAAACTCTACGATCCCAACGATGTCGATCTACAGTTTACCCTCTCTAAGGTATTTTCCTGCTATACCCACATTGTGAAACCTAGAATTCTCTAACGAGGAGATCCACCCTTTGTGAGATGTGCTATTCTTGAGCCAAGATCTATGATCTTGATGTTATTGTGATCCTCTGATTATTCTAGAGAAGACCTATTGTAAACCTGTTATCATTACTATTGATAGTGGAAGTTTGAGGTGGACTACGGTCCCGT